TAAAATGGTGTGGATTAAAAAAAATTACTGATCTGCATCAGAAGTGAGCTGCCAGGGTGCTGGGATCCACAAAGGAGGCTCACAATTAAAGAGAGATGGTCTCTAAGGATTGTCGGTGGGCAGTATACCCTACCGTGCTGGCAACCTCCTATGATCTTCTCTTCAGAAATGAGGGCGTGAAGACAGAGAAAATAGATGAAAAGGAGACCTTGAGATGAGTAAGCCCAAAGTGGTCAAAGATTTCAATGGACTGAGAGAAATACTCCAAAACCAAAGGCACTCCTGTGTTGTCTGTGTCACTGTTGCCTTGGACTGGATCTCAAAAACTTCAAGTACTCATCTGGGACACAGAGAGACACATCAGGAAGCAGAAAGAAACTTTTCAGGCCTTGGGAAAGGCTGAAATTCTGAATGATTCTGACTTTTTCTGAATTGGCTCATTCCTTTATAACCAGCTCTACTTGCACCGGGGAGCTGTGGGGCTGGCTAAGCATAGTCTCCAGCAGGTCGTGCCCATGCCAAGAGGCCCCTCCTGCATTCTGTCAACACTCCTGACAAAGCTTTTGTGCCACGGTCCTTCAATATAACTGCCTTAATGCAATCCAGGTTCTGACTGTGGTGCCCTTGCTTGTGTCCCCGTCCCATGCACGCAGACCGGACGCATAGCAAGGAAGGACAAAGTGCTTCACCCGGCATTAAGCTGAGTGAGGGGAGATGAATCACACACTTCACCAACGTGTGGCACATCCAGCAAGGGTCAGATACATCAACTGCAACCTGTGAGGAGCCTCTGGTGGGAAATGTCCCAGTGTGAGAATGACCAAGGGAAGTGAGATAAGGCACTTGGGAAAGGAGAGAAGAGATCAGAGCTCCCTGAAATGAGCACAGAACAAACAATCGGGAGGGAAAAGGAAAAACAGGGACTGGCTGTTCTGCATCACAATCTGAAAGTAAAATCTACCTGAAGGAGAAGACAAAGAGAGCACAGAGAGACTGTCCGTGGCAGCAGCTCTTGAAGGGGATCCCAAAGAATATGGATGAATCCAAGCTGCAGGTGCTGCAGAGAAGAGGGTAAAGGCCTGCCACACCAGCAGGTTCAAAGCACTGGCTCCAGCATGAGGAGGTGCACAAGCAGTGGATATGTGAGTGTCCAGCGTCCTGCTGGACGTATTCGAAACGCTGCTTGCGTGGTTTGGCATTGGTGCGTGCCCTGGCCCGTCGGTCTGTTTTGCTGTATATCCAGCAGCCCGTGCTGCCAAACATCCCAAGTAGATACTGCTAAAAGCAGTCACCTGCTACCGGAATGAGAAAATCTGGGAGGCCGTGGGGACAGAGGTTATGTCACTGAGAGTTTTCTTTGTGTATTCGCACTCCTCTGAGTGTCGGCGTGCAGCACAGCCTGCAAGGGATGCCGCAGAGCTCCATTTTGTCCACAGGACTCCAGTCCTATGCACTGAGTGTCGGGGCCCAAGGTTAGATGAGAAAGACATAAGCAATACCAGTCTTGTCTCCTTACTTACTCTGTAGGCTGTAGGGGAGAGATCCTTCTGTACACATAGATACAGATTAGTTATTTTAGATAAACTTTATCTGGAGGGAAGCAGACACCGATAAAGCACTGTTTCACACAGTGAAAGTAGTACGTAGAAATTTTGGATACAAACTTTAAACTGATCAGCAGAAAAATGAAGTAGTCTTCCTTTTAAAACAAATACAAGGGCTATATGATGATACCAACAACAGACCTGGAGGAAGATGGGAATGAAAGCAGCCCAGAAACTTGACTGCAGGTTTAAGGGAAAAATCTAAATTTAAGTTCTTGCTCTGTCTCAGGTGTTTATATGGAGCAACTCTTCTGGGTGTTCTCTTTCTCAGGCTGTAGAATGAGGGAAGTATCTTTGCCTCAGAAGGTGAGTATGTGGACAAAGGGAAATATGAAGAGAAGTGAAACACAAAGCAAGCTGGGCTGTGTACTTCAGCACACCACCATAGTTCTGACAGGAGGCAGGAACAAGTCGAAATGGGAATGGTGGCTGGCTCTGCCACCACAGCTGGAGGACAGAATGCATGGCCAAGGCGAGATGACAACCTACAGTTTATTGGGATACTACTGTAAACAGCCTCTATCTCATTTCCACAGCTACAGTACCCTCTACTTAACTGCAGTACATTTAATCAAGATGTTTCTTAGGGAACCAAATAAAGCTTGATGATGCTTAATGGCTGGGGCTTAATGGCTGGGTTGTTTAACTGGGCTCATAATTTTGATTAATTAAGATGCCTGCAGGTGTTGGAGTGCTACTTAGGCAACCACTTTGATGTTCAGAGGCAAAGGGGGTTTTGTATCCCCTTCAAAACGATTTCTGCCAGTGCTTGTTCAGCAAAGCAAAACTGCCTTCAAACCCTTGCAAAAAAGTTAACTCTCTTGTAGCTGGCAGTAGCCCCCCAATTTCTGGGAAGCTTGGCAGCCTACATGTCCTTTTGACCAGTTTCCTCTTGGGATGATCTGTGATCAGCCTCTGTCTCCTTGATAGGAACAAAGTAAGAATGTGAGAGGATCTCCAGGTGGTGACGGGGCATTCAGGCAGCGGACCCGATGAGAACAGCAAGTTGCCCACCCCCAGACCAATGTTTCTACTCTACTGAAAACAACAGCAGAGCTTCTCCTTTTGAGCAGTGGAAATTACAAAGCCTGGCTTCCTATGAGGTTGTCCCCTGTGTTCATATACCCTAACACTGTGATTTCAGCTTTCCCCTGCCGGCATATCTCCCTTTCCCTGCAATACGTTCCCTGTCCTGCTATGTCACCAACTTGCCAGCTTCTCCTCACGGAGCGGTGTGGATGACCTGCCGTAGCCTGGAGTATGGGTGTGCAGAGTGACTGGACAGCAGGTGCAAGAAATCACACTAGAACTTCCCCCTTAGGCAGCACTAATTTGTATTTCCCTTGTCTATTCTGCAGCCAGCTTTCTTATAAAACATGCTTACCTCAGATTTTTGTCTTGTGAATGCAGATAAAATGCCTCCAGGTTAAAAATATTTGGGGAGAAAACAGGACATGGATACCAGTGTGGCATATGCTCATTTCCATAGGAAACTAAAACACTGGACAGAGGCACAATGAGCCAAACACATTGTTGTTTTCAGTATCAAGCATTGACATTAAATTAAGCAGAACTTGATGATCTAAGGCTTAGTAAATTACTACTGCCAACTATAAAGGCATAGACCACCATGGACAGAGCACTGGAATAGGGCTCAGGAGAGCAGAGTTATACTCTGCTTTGCCATGGATTTACTGAACGAATTTGAGCAAATGTTATCTTCGCATATGCAAAAATACAGGTCAATCTTCCACTTTTCTTGTAATCTGTATAAGTAATGCAAAAATGAAGCAGCATATTGTCTAGGGACTACAAAGACAACCTTTTTCCAAGAAACAGCCTTACTGTAATTTCTTGGCAACCACAGGCAGTACAAACTGAGTCAGGAGGAGTGATCTCAGCCTTTTCATACATCTGCATTGTTCCCCTCCACCAGAGCTTTGTAGAGTAGGAATAAGAGGCATTCAAATGCAGTTTATGGAAACTTAAGCAAATACAAATTGGAGTAGCCCCTTAGTGTTATCAGCATATTCGATAGCTTGTGATGAATCATAACTGAGGTATCTGCTTTCCAGTGCATTAACACTAAAGCAGTATTAGTAGTAGCAGTATTATTCTGACCCAAGCAATGAGTCCGCTTTTAAGGGAAGTGGCCGAAATGTCCAGACACCAACTTAATTTGTCCTAGAGTTATAATGCAGTATATTACAAACACACTGTGAATTCTGAAAATTCCTGACAGAACAAAAAAGTATACCTGGAAACTCAGTGTCAGTGTCTTCAATCCATCATGGAGAATTCATCTTATCATTACAGCCTGCCACAAATTTAGCTGCATGGGTACTGTCTGCAACCTAGCAGGTCAATTATTTTCCTCTACTTCTACACCAGAAGAATGCAGGACCCAAGCCATTTTGTTTTTAAAGTGCTTGCAAGCTTTTGGTTAAGGGTACCTGAAGTCCATCAACATGCAAGGCCCTGCTTGTCCTCTCCACTTTGATCATTGAGCCAATACCTTTGTTTCCTGCATGATTAACAATGTTAAATGAATGTATTTGCCCAGAAGCTAGTAAAAGAAACATTTTGGTTACCCATCTCTGTAGCTCTATATTGGACCTGAAGGTCAAAGAAAAGCTTTTGCCGCATTTCAGCCCTTTAAGTGATGCTTTGTTATGCAAAGTTCCTCTTATCTCACTTTTAGGAAGTCTCTTGTGACCTAATATAGAGAAGGCAGAGTGAAAGGTAACTGGAATTGTTCATTAGAACACATTCTTTTATTAATCAAGAAAGATCAGAAAAATAGCTGGGGGGACAGCAGGTGAACAGATGACACTGAACCACACATTGTCAAAAATTGTTCAAAACAGCTGAGCTGTTCAACAATCCAACTATAGCTGGTTACCTTGTTCTGCCAGTGTAAAGGAGCCTCAGATGTGGATGTAGATCCCTGAGAGCTTTGATCTTCTCATCAAGAAGTAGCTAAGAGGAGATTCTGAACTGGCCCCAGTCCCAGCACTGGAGGCCAAGCAAGAATATTACCATTTCCAAGTCTTGCAACAGTAACGGAGCACCAGACTCATTGGCCAGAGCCTCACTGTGCTACTAATCAGCCATAACCACAAGAAGACTTCCTCTGGCTTACAGAATTGTAATCTCCAATTTTCTGATTCAGAGCCTGTATCAGACTGAAGGAAGCGGAACATTAACCAGAGCAGCGCAAGAGCTGGACAGCCTCAGCTTATAAAACCTATGGGTGCTATGTTCCTCCTGAGTCATTCGATTTCTCCAGGGATATTGCCCCTGGACTGTTCAAGGGAAACAATCCACTATTTCATGACCAGTTAGGTTTCAAGAAGACTTCAAACTTTTTGCAAACTTTCTCTATTTCTCTATCCATTAGGCAAAATTTATGAAATCAAACATCCTTGATACTCTCAAGGTGACTTCCAAGGTCTCCTCTTCAGACAGAAAACGAGCTTTACCATTCTTGCTGTCTACACGGTAGGGGAGGTGCAGCAGCAGCTTCCTGTAAAAGAGGACACAGAGAATTTCAGTGTCTCAGACTGGGTGAGCAATTGAGGTAGCATTGCAAGTTACTCTTGCAATTCGCCAATCAGTACACCAAGGAATGTTCTTTCAGTATATATCTCGTTCTCATGACAGGTTGTGGGGTTCCTGCAATACCTGGTGCACAGCTATACAGACCCTGAAATATTTCCAACACTATTCCTTTCTTTTGGCTTTCTTTTGACAACGGTTTCCAATGATGGATTGTGGGCTCTCTCCACTGTTCTTGCTTTTGGACAGTGCTGCATTTTAAATGCAGAGGAAGGAGGAGCTGCATTGATAATGCTCTCCTGGTGGTAAAAATCTGAATAATGCCTAAAGCCTGAACATGTCTTCAGGAGTTTGTCTTCTCTAGTAAAAAGAAATAAGTGGTGCAGCCTGATTAGAGATTCTGGCCAGTTCAGTTTCACAAAGGATATGTCTGCACTGCAAAGCACAGATCAAGTATGAGAAAGGACTGACAGTTATGAAGTTGCTGAGATTTTAACCTACATTGAAGATTAATTCAGTGATCCCCTACCTGTGGCTCAGGCACATAATACACAAAGAAAGGCTGGATCTTGGACTCAGGAACTATTCCACAGTCCCTTGCTGGGTTAGACATACAGCTTTTCCCGGAATGGCTGACAAGCATTCCGGTTTGTCTCCTCACAAGGATGTCTCACACTGGACCCGTTCAACTCTTCTCATTGATGACAGTTCAAACGTACTTGCTCATGGAGAGT